AATGTTGTTACCTCTGCTTATGTAGTTTGTAGATAGCTGATCTTTGTATGTTGATCAATCATTTCTTGCAAAACGAACAAACTATCTATGACCGAATTGTTTCGATCGAAGACACTCTGATACTTAAGTTATTAATAGAGTAAATCAAGAATATTTGTAGGAAAGATTGTGCGTACCTTTCACTAAGACTTCTTGGTCCTTTATATATACACCCCTGTTACTTGGTCTTCTGATTGATTTGTTGTTGCAATCTCTCTCACGCCCTTTAAACAGCTTGTTCTTCAGTGATATTGATCACGTTTCTCTCGATTATAGTAACTTGATCTCCTGAATCATAGGCACTTCCTTAGTTCGAGCTATATTTCAAATGAAGCTTGGTCGTGGCAATGCCCCTTCATTTTACTATTATGAGATTTCAAGTTTAAACTTAATAAATAAGTAGTAAGAATTTATTCTCATAGAAAATACTTATTAGATTACAAGTTTGCTCAATTGATTACCTAAAACCAAAAAAATGTAAAAAGGAATTATAAAATGGCTTCAAATCCTTACTTCAAAACATAGAAAAAGGAATGGTCCAAATTAGGGCTGAGGTCCAACTCCAACGGAGTCGGAGAGCATACATCTGAACTCTGACCCCGACTATAGTCCGAGTTCATTTTTTCTTCTAACTCTACTTGTTAGAGGCGGAGCAAAATCTAAAACCACCGATTCAAGTAAATAAAATCATATCAAAAGACCAAAAAAAAAGTGCAATTGAAAAATTCAAACAAAAAATAGAAAAACAAATAAAAATTTCACCAACCAATCATTGATATATCTGTTTCAAAAATCTTTCTTCAATTAGCAATCAATTTTGCAAGATCTTCCTTCAAAAATCTCTATACCTTCGCCCTCCTCCTCAGTACATCAATTCGCATGTTCGTTGGCTTAATCAATGAAATAAGATTTAGGGTCTAAAATTTGGGGATTTAGGGTCCAATAATTGGAAACCTAGGAGTTAAGGATTTTTCAACTCATAGAGTGAGAGAAGAGAAGGAAGAAGTGAAAGTGTCACACCTCATCCCAAGAGACCTATTTAGTATTCCTAAGATGGAAGTATAACACGTATCAATATCTACACGTGTAACGCTAGAATGCATGGAAAATCAATAATACCACCTAATAATGTCATGAAACATATAGATAGAATTATAGAGTACACAAAGTGTTGCATATACCAAAAAGATTGATTATGGATTTTATCCCTTTACAACAATAGGAAAGAAAACAAGCTCTCATGTACAATATGTACATAACTAGTTTTCTTAATTTTTTCCTATCTCTATCGTGCTAGTGTAGTAGTGAACCCAGCTCACTTTAAAACTCAAATCAACCTCATATATCAAAATAATATATATATACATGAGCAGCAAGTCAAAAAATAACATTTAAGTAATGTCAAACTATCTACAATATTTAAGCAATGTTAAAATCAACAATATGTAAGTCATGTCAAGTTATAAAAAAACTTGTCACAGTGGATAATACTCAAATCACAAGTTTTTCATAAAAGCACATTTGATATATAATTTAAGCAATTCATCCCAAAAACAATTCAGCAACAATTGATTTTTCACATGCAAGAAAATAAATTTGATATATCATATTCTTTTATTTCCATTTATTATTAAGTAATACGTTCTCATCTTTACGACCAACAAAACACACCTCCTTGTTTTATGGTCGATCCCTAGCAATAATCGAGGTAGTAGTCTCCGACCCTAACAGGTAGCATATGTACAAATACAAGTAAGTATCGATTCTAAAATAACTCAATTGATGCAAATGAATGCATATGAGTATGCTTCATGGAGTATTTTATGAATTAACTCCCACCGACAAGATGGATTTGCTCCTCAGTGATTGAGAAGTTTGGAACAAAAATATACCAATCAATAAAATACAACCTTTCATTACGTACAAACACCATAATAAATCTTAAATATTGCATAGTCCAAGTAATAAACTTCATTTTTACATGTCAATAAAGTTAATTTTTTGACATCATATTACTTGGATGAATGGATAAAAGATGTTTATACAATTTTCTTCAAACTACATGCACAAGCCAAGTGAAGAAAATAGTGTATATATAATGGTTGTTAGGGTGAGTGGGAGGGACATTCAATGATAGCACTTAGATCAAGTCTCATGGGTTGCTTAATCTAAGAACTTCAAATTGTTGAAAAGCCCACCTTTTTGTAGCATTTTACTATAGGATAGTGTGATTGTGGAACATGCTGATGGAGTGAGTGAACATGGATTTGAGAAACTGGTAGATATTGTTATTAGGCTTGAGGCATGTAGAGAGTAGTTAATGGTATGAGTGGAATTCTATGAATGACACAATATATATATATAATTATGAAGAAGATGAAGAGAACATAGAAAGTCACATGGTGACTAATTAAAACAAAACAGTTTTGATTATTCCAAGTGTTTTGTTTATTTATAATATTTGTACACATAAAGTGAGAAAGAAGTTGAATGGATGAGAAAGAAATGAATAGATGACTGACAGTTTGAAATAAAAAAAGACAACAAATCATATGTGATTAATAAGGAACTCTATGTTTTTTCTTTAGTTAGTATATTAATTTGGATTTAATGCCAATGTAATGGATAGTGAGAAAAAAAAGAGAGATGGAAAGTCTCTATAAATGAATTTACTACATAATGAATAATATTTATTCAGGTGGATGGTAGTTTGATATTTAAGTGATGTTTGAACATAAAAGAGTTGATCAAAAGTTTTTTCAGCATAGGTACATTTAGTAGTATGTATATATATATATAGATAGACACACACACATGCGCGCATGCACAAACACATTTTTATAGTTTATAAATATATTTAAGAAGAAAATAAAAACTCAAAAAAAAATTATATTTAAGGCAAATTAAGGAATAATTGTGTTTAAGACAAGATCATTTAAGGAAAAAATTAAAATTAATGGTTAAAATTAATTAATAAAGTTCAAATGAATATAATTAAATGTTAAATTTATACACATAATTAATTTAAGAAGATGAAAGTATATAAGAAGATTTTGTAATTAATTGAATAAAATGAAAAGAAATGAGAGGATATAATTGACTTTATAATAATAATCAAGGACAAATAATCAAACAAAAGTTTTTCACTTTTGTTGACATTTTAAAGTAGTATAGAAGTAGTATTATATATATATATATATATATATTTATTTATTTATTTATTATTTAAGCCAAATTAAGGAATAATTGTCTTTAAGTCAAGATCATTTAAGGACAAAATTAAAATTAAAATAGAAATTAGTGGTTAAAATTAATTATTAAAGTTCAAATAAATATAATTAAATGTTAAATTTATGCGCATAATTAATTTAAGAAGATGAAATGATAGAAGAAGATTTTGTAATTAATTGAATAAAATAAAAAGAAATGAGAAGACATGATTGACTTTATAACAATAATCAAGGACAAAATAGTCAAATAAAAAATTTTCACTTTTATTTACATTTTAAAGTAGTATAGATATGCATATAGATATTATTACCGGATTGAATTACTCTAATCCACCCCCTTAATACATAAACAAAACATTCCGTAAAAGTGTTGAGACTGTAATTAAAACCTAAAAATTCTCTAAATGTAGATTTCTCACAAGTTTTCCCTACTTTTATTCCTCTATTTCTCTTTCATATAGTTCTACCTCATTTACTTGCTAGAAAAGTCATGCCATGGAAAAATAAACTAGCTTGCAAAATTTGACAGGTCAGTCTTTGCCCCTAAGACCCGTCTCTTTGTGCACATAATGTCAAAAGTTTGTTTTGTTCATATCCACTATTGCAAAGTTGGATGGTGTTCCATTTAATACAAGAAAAGTTGGGGCAAAGAAGAGAATAACAAATTAAAGGGTAAAATAATCCTTAAAGGTCGTTGATTGGTCTGAAATGGTGGTATAATAAACTAGCTTGCTAGACATTACTCATTCTTGAATGTAATAACTAGAAATTTTGGCTACTATTCTTTGGTTTGTTTTCAATCTAATTCTCTTATAGCTTTAGAACAATTGAACTGAAAAAAATCAAAATTATTATCTCGAGATCTCAAAATTGAATTTTAAAAAGAGTTTTGATTTATTTGATAAGCAAGTTAGGGTGATTGGAAATGTTCTCAATTTTCCGTTAAAACAAAAAGGAAGAGATATTCCCAACCACTTAAAGAAATATTAATTCTAACATAAGAAAAGGGTTAGGCCCCACTTGGCTTAGGGACTTTACCAAACAACCTTAAGATTTAAGAATAATTGGACTACCCTGTTAATTATTTAATGATATCGGTACTTGTAAAAAAAAATTATTCACACCGAAACTAAAATATTTATAAAAAGATTATTCATATAACCTGACCTTAATATCAAATTTTAACTTAACACTTCTAAGTTTATACTCATCTTTCTAAGCATTTAAGTTGAGATTAATATATTTCGTCTGTATATGTGATCTCTAGTACTCCCTCCAACCCCTTTCTGGGTTTTTTTGGAAATTGATTACGTCGATTTTTCCTTCTCCTCTCTCTCTCTCTATCTCTCTCTCTCACTTGTCTTGAACTTCCTACGTTGTCTATTGGAAGGGTTGCATTCGTGGTAGTTCCGCTGAATCCTTCTACCACCACCCTCTCACCTTCTCCCTGTCGTTTCCTTTACGTCATAAGGAGTAAACAACACGAGAAAGGTAGACTATAAGCAAAAGTCTCTCTCTCTCTCTCTCTCTGAGTCTCCCTTGACTTCCTCTCTCTACCCATCTAACTGCTTGTACTTCCAACTTCTATCTACCTGTAGACCGTTTGTTTCTACCTCTCTATTCTTCCCATTCCCGTCACTCCAAACCCCATTTTTCGTCTTTCTACTCTTCTCTTCTCCACTCTCTGAGAACACCCAAAAAACAAGAAAAATCTTTAACTTTAAGGGTAATATGGCAAGTGGCAGTGACTTGTTCATAGCTTTCTTGGTAGTATCGACGGTTGTGTTGAGCTTGAGGTGTGTTGTTGAGGCTAGATTTGTGGTGGAGAAAAGTAGCATCAGGGTTCTCTCTCCATACAAGCTTCGTTCAAAGCATGATGGTGCTATTGGTAACTTTGGAGTTCCTGACTATGGAGGATCCATGGTGGGTACTGTTGTTTATCCTCAGACTGGCTCTGATGGGTGCAATCCATTTGAGGGTGATAAACCCTTCAAGTCAAAGTCTTCTCGTCCCTCTTTCCTCCTCCTCGATCGTGGAGGTAAATTTATAGTATGGGATTTTCCTATTGGATCTAATAAGCTTCTCTGTCAAGCTTTTGATTGATATTGTCTTTTGAAGTGATGAGTAATTTTTTGTTCATTGTTTTGCTTGTGTGGGATGACAAGGTGTATTACCTTTTCGTTTCTTTTTTTTCCCTTTTGGTTTTCTTCTTCTGTCAGTTCATTCTTTATGATTTTTTGTAGGTGGAAGATTTGTAAATTCATGGGTATTTTTTATCTTATTGAAGTGTCTTCGGGATAATTTGGATCTGTACTCCATATAGCTTCTCTGTTTTTCTTCTTTGTCTTAGGCTTTTTAAGTTTTTTTTTTCGTCCCTCCTTCCCACTTGTGTTGGTCCTCTTATACTTTTTGTGTAGCTTCTGTGTCAAGATTTTCATTGATGGGTAGAATTTACATGGTCTTTGAAGAGGTGGGTATATGTTTGTTCCTTGTTTTGCATGTGAAACTCTGAAGCATGTTGTTTGCTAGAATTACTGGATCTTACCTTTTCTTCTGTTTTTTATTTCTTCTCGTATTAGTTCATTCCTTGTGGTTGTTGGTAAGCGGAAGATATGCAATTTGATGGGTATTTCTTTATCTTAGTGAACTGTCTTATAGATAATTTCAATCTTGCCTCCATGCAGCTTCTATATTTCTCTCTGTTTTAGGCTTTTAACTTTTTTTTTTTTTGGGTCCTTCCCTCTCTTATACTAATCTAGATAGGTACAGTGTTATTTTACTGTCTACTGTTTGGGTTCGTCCTTGCATATAGAACAAAAAACAAAAAACAAAAAAAAAATGGATTTGGTTTTGTCTTTTCTTAGTGTCTTAATTGCTTCTTCCCCTTATCCAGCTCCAAGTTCCCGTGTTTTTTCCCTTATCCGTAAGACATTGATCGAATTTGGCTACTGATGCGTACATTCTTTCATGCTAAATTCCTAGTTTTTTGGAAATTTAATAAGTTGATCTCATTTTCCCACTAACTCTCTGTTGATGTCTGGAGAAAGGCCATGGAGTGCTAGTTTGTTCTCATGCTATAACACGGAATGTAGAGGTTTTTGACCAAACCCATGCCTTGAAAAATTTATTTTTCAAATCCATAATGTTTCAATCTTATTTCTTAAACCCAAACGCTTTTAAATAATATCACCTCAAATGACTTCTTTGTGAACCATTTAAAAAAAGGTCATTTGAATTGACGTTTTCAACGTAAAACAGCATTCTTCAAAAATTACTTTTGTTTAGGACATAAATTTCAAAGTGCCTTAATTTCGGAAATAAGAATTCTAATTAACTCAGAGGAAACCACGGATTGCAAAGAAAATATAACACCAGCTCTTGCATCATCGCCCAAATGTAAACCAGCCCGTAAGCAGGATCCAAGTTCAGGTTTTGGCTGTTCTGCAGTTGCTTACAATTGCAGATCCTACAATTTTCACGTCTGAAAATCTTATCTTATCTTAATAAAGGAAAAAATGTTGATGTTGACAAATTTTCATCCCGCAACTATTAATTAGTTGAAGGAAACCTTATGGACTATAATTTCTTTAAAGTATGCCGGTGTCATGTCACTAATACTAACATAGATTAGTTTTCATCGCCAAAAGACACATATTGCGTTGACACACGTAAACAAAATGATTCANAATTAGTTGAAGGAAACCTTATGGACTATAATTTCTTTAAAGTATGCCGGTGTCATGAAACTAATACTAACATAGATTAGTTTTCATCGCCAAAAGACACATATTGCGTTGACACACGTAAACAGAATGATTCTNGTCATGTCACTAATACTAACATAGATTAGTTTTCATCGCCAAAAGACACATATTGCGTTGACACACGTAAACAAAATGATTCACAATGCCACTGATACTGTACATCAATATAGTGATTATTAATAAGTATTTTACTCGTAGTTTTGACTTTTGACATTTTTTAGGAGTCTTGTTGTTTAGAACTAGGTTTGAATAAATAGAATTTCCCGCTTGTGGGAGAAATTATGTATGTTCCGAAATCATCAAATTTGGCTGTCCCTATCTATTTCAGCTCAAAATTTAGAAAGAACATAGCTGCAGATACTGTGAAGGAATTTGAAAATTCATATTTGATTTTTTTATCTAAAAGGATAAGTAAGAAGGAAAGTTGTTTTATTTCCGCTCTCTTGTCTAATTTCTTGTCTCTTCACATCCCACTTCCAGATGTAGTTCCAAGTGATACTGTCTCTACAGATGAAAGTGTCAACCTGTTGCAGCAGCAGACTCAATTTACCTTCTTTTTTTTTTTGGTCTTTTTCTTCTCCCTTAAATAGTCTTTTTATGCAACTAATGTGGATTGATGTAAGTTTTTTCTGATATAGTATTTTCTCCTACTAAAGTCTTCCATATCCAATTGTATCCGTATGTCCACTTGCTTTTTCATTGCTCATGTTACTATCTTAATTATGGAATTACTTATATGAGAGAATTGTATCATTTTTAAAAATTTGGAAGCATATGGAGTTGTGATATCCTCTAGTTCACAATTGCATAGTCCATATTTTGTTGCAACTTGAACAATGTAGATCTATCCATCAAATCTTGCTAGAAAAACTTTTATAGTCACACAATGGATGCCAAAATCGAGATAAGATGTCCTATAATAAGTCTAGTCTCCCATTGGAAAACAAATTAAAATCACCTTATTTTTGGGTGTACCAAATTGCAACATTAGTTTATTTAGTTAATGAATCCTGGTTTGTATTAAATAAAGCTTCTGTGACAAATTGGATCTGTAGATCGTATGTTAACTTTTGTTTTAATCTTCCTTCCACTTCTAGGATGCTACTTTGCCTTGAAGGTATGGAACGGTCAACAGGCTGGTGCTGCGGCTGTTTTAGTGGCTGATAGCATAGATGAGCCTTTGATAACTATGGACTCTCCTGGGGAGAGCTCTGATGCGGATGGTTACATAGAGAAGATTGGCATTCCATCCGCTTTAATTGAGAAGTCCTTTGGCGAGACCTTGAAAACCACCTTGAAGACAGGCGAGGTTGTTTTGGTAAAATTAGACTGGCGAGAGTCAATGCCCCATCCTGATGAGAGGGTTGAGTATGAGCTATGGACAAACAGCAATGATGAGTGTGGAATTCACTGTGATGAACAGATGAATTTCATAAAGAATTTCAAGGGACATGCTCAGATTCTAGAGAAGGGTGGTTATACTCTATTCACACCACACTACATAACTTGGTATTGCCCTCNTCACTGTGATGAACAGATGAATTTCATAAAGAATTTCAAGGGACATGCTCAGATTCTCGAGAAGGGTGGTTATACTCTATTCACACCACACTACATAACTTGGTATTGCCCTCCGACTTTCATCCTTAGCAATCAGTGCAAGTCTCAATGCATAAACCACGGGAGATATTGTGTGCCTGATCCAGAGCAGGATTTTGGGGAAGGGTATCAAGGGAAGGATGTCGTGTTTGAGAACTTGAGGCAGCTTTGTGTGCATAGAGTTGCCAATGAGAGCAACCGACCATGGGTCTGGTGGGATTTTGTGACAGATTTCCACATCAGGTGTTCAATGAAACAAAAAAGATATAGCAAAGAATGCGCCGAAGATGTAATGAAATCACTTGGTATGTGCTGCCTCGAGTGATATTTTCCTTTTCTTTTTCCATTTGAGAATCGTCTTTTTCTCTTAGTTTCAATGTGCTCCAACAGGTTTGCCAATTGAGAAGCTGAAAAAATGCATGGGCGATACTGAAGCTGATGTGGAAAATGAAGTCCTAAAAATTGAGCAAACACTCCAGGTTTATTGTCTCTGCATTTCCATTTTTGTTTCCCTTCCATAGCCCGCACAAGTTTGAATATTGCAGAGGTCTCTTGAAAACTCCGTTTCTGCTATTTCAAATAAATCATTTGTAATTTGTACTTCAGTAGTATTCAGGGTTAAGAAGGACTTAATTTAATGATGTCAGTTGCTTCAGTACATGAACTTGATGCTTTGTTTCTGATTTGTGAAATCTAGGTTGGTCGAGGATCTCGTGGTGATGTTACTATCTTGCCAACACTGGTTATAAATAACGTCCAATACCGAGGTTGGTTATGCTATGTGCGTATTCTGGTTGTAGAGAATTATGGGTTCCTCAGTAGCTCCTTTTCTTCGTCTCAAATCACATCTTTACACCCTTAGGTTGTCATTTTGATCGTTCTGGAAAGATCTGATGACTAGTCATTTGTTACTGATCACACGAAAGCAAATATTGAATGGCATATGGGGAGATCTTCCCTGGATGATTTTGCATGAACTGTGTTTTAAGAGAATACTTTGATGCTATTACTAGGTGATATATGGGGTGAAAGCCCCATACAAAAACTTAAAAGATTTTAAATTTGAAAGCAAAAGTTGCTTTGTTTAACTGCCTTGCCAGTGTGAACTTTTGCCAAGAGACTGGCTTGGAGAAGATTTGTCTCCAAAACTTCCTCCTCTCGGTTTTCTGTTGCTTATAAAACACCACTGCAATCATGATCATCCGTGTCATGGTGAAGGTGGAGAAGTTTGAAAACTAATTGGTCATATTCGCATTTCTCTTACAAAAAATATCGATGGAATTAGTTTTTCTTTTCACATGTAACAAGAAGTATATGTGCATGTTTCAGCAGTTCCTGGTTTTTGATTGTTAGTTCATTGTGTCAGCTTACCCTTTGACTGGGAATTTCAGTCTTTAGGTGATTCTCTTCTGAAGTTGCTACTAGTAATTTAAAGTCTCATTTTGTTCCCTAGATTGTTTCACTTTCATNTCATTGTGTCAGCTTACCCTTTGACTGGGAATTTCAGTCTTTAGGTGATTCTCTTCTTAAGTTGCTACTAGTAATTTAAAGTCTCATTTTGTTCCCTAGATTGTTTCACTTTCATATTGTTTCACTTTCATACTTTGTATCTCTAATCATTTTCATTAGTTCTGTTCTCAGCACCTCTTAGTCTCTTTTGCTTATTTTGACCACATAATTTTTTATTGCTCAAAGCCACAATAGTAATATGTTTTCTTTATTCCTAAATTTCTATTATCTTTACCTGTTGTGTGCTTAAGTTCTTTTTTTTTTTTATGAAGGAAAATTGGAGAGGACTGCCGTGTTGAAAGCCATATGCGCAGGATTTAAGGAGACTACTGAGCCTTCAATTTGTCTAACTGGAGGTCTAATGACACTAGTTTTCCCAACCTGCACTTATTACTATTATGCAATAGGGAAAATTATACATTATCTCTCTGTGGTTTGAACCAGTAACTCATCACCTTCCTACTCTTTAAAAAATTTCACACAACCCCCTGTGATTTTGGACAAACTCAAACTATCAGAAATTCTGTTAAAATAAATGTCAAAGGTCAAAATATTAATTCAGTATTTGTAATAAATAACATTTTAAAATGAATTACATACCCTATAAATGTTGAATGTCTTAATTTTCTCTCGCTTTGAATTAAATCAATTTCTTCTTCTCTTTTCCCTTTCTATGCATCAATTAGATTTCTTGATTTGTTATAATTTTTAGGAAATAAAATACTAAACATATTAAAAAAAAATAAAAGTTATATTGTCTTTTTATGCTAAATTGTTATCTCTATTAGCTATTATGCTTTTATTCCAAACCATAGGGGGGTATGTGCAAGTTTTTAAAAGTATAGGAAAATAAAGTATTATCGGGCAAACTGCTGGGGGCTAATCTATAATTTACCCCATACAAAAGATGGCAAATGTTTGGTTTTTTTGGTATTACGGTTAAGAGTGTTCAGACCAATTTGCACGCATATCGACTGATCCCCTCTCAAGTCTAGTCAAAAGCAGACCATTCACTCCGGGATTAGGAAATTCATGAGGGTTAAATCCCTTATGACCTAGTCCCAAGTGAGTTGCCAAGTCTTGAACTTTAGATGTCAGGGTTTATAGCTCCTCCCTGCCTCTAGTAGGCCATTTTTACTTTCCCTTAACCTGATTATATTTCCTTTACAGATCTTGAGACTAATGAGTGCCTTGAAAGGAATGGTGGCTGTTGGCAGGACCCACAGTCCAATATAACAGCTTGCAAGGTATGCTATAAAAGGACTAATTCCTCTACGTGAATGATGACTCTCATAAAATTGATTAACAGACTTCTGGAAGCATGTTTGGAGTTGTCTTATTACGTATTACTGGAATTTTTTTTTTTTTTTGTAAAGGATACGTTCAGGGGAAGAGTGTGTGAGTGCCCCCCTTTGGTGAATGGCGTTCAGTATAGAGGAGATGGATATATTTCTTGTGAAGGTACATGTTTGTCCTGTCAGATGTTGTACGACTCATTATTTCTTGACTATAATATGTCTCCGAGAAGGTTAGGCAAGTGCCTGTTGTGCTGGAAAAACAAACAAATATAGAATAAAAAAAATAAGAAAAATATTTATTTCCTGATAAATTACTTAATTATATGAAGTGACCAGAAAAAGGATGACCAGTGAAGGTTGATATGGAATGTAATTTAGGAGAAAAAAATCGTTTTAAGCCTAACATTTGTGCTTGATGGCCAGCCAAAATAAGAAAGGCTGGCGGGGAATATGTTGTGTAAGCAATACAAGATGGGCCTAGGAAATTATAGGTAAAGATGTGCGCAGAAATCTTCAAGTGCTACTAACTTTAAATTTCATCTCTAGAAGGAACCTTTAACCTGATCGTCCATGTTATCTTTAGGCTGCTCAGATTGGTCGGTGTTGGCATCAATATCAAATTTTCCTCTATTTTGGTATCGAACAACCAGAAGGCCAAATTGATATCGATTATCAGACCGGAAGTTTCACTGTCACCACCAACCTTATGCTTCACCAGCAACTTCCCTTGTTGCTGAACTTCGATATCTTGTACCATGTCAATGAACAATTCGACGGAATTGTTATTTCCCAAGCTATTTCACTTGCTCAAATGTTTGTGCACCCAAGTAGACTCTTTAGAGGAAAATTCTAAATATGCCTCAAGAGAGATGCTTTAGTTCCACTCTTTTTCTCATTTTAAACAAGTTGAAATCCCCTTCAGCTACAAATTGGTCATCTCTTAGTCTTGGGGAATATCTTCAGTAGCCAACGAATAATTTTAATATGCCTTAGTTACTAAATAAATCAATTGAAAGAGCTGAAGTCTTCCAGGAAAAGACAAGGCTCTGCCAGTCCATGACTTGATTGTAATGCATTCTAACAAGGCTCTACAATTATTTTGGACATGCCAGTGATTAACAGATTTACCCTGAGTATATAATAGCAGAGAACATTCTTCAACATTCATCTGGTAGAGAATCCTGAACACCTCAATAACCCCAGTAAAGCAAATAATGCTTTTCTATTGCTGTCTCTTAGTGGCCCAAAATTACCTTGAATTTCAGTATTAGTACTTCTTGCAGTCTTTGTAGGATCCTTACCGGTGAAAGAGGATCACCCTGAAGAAGATCTCTAGACCCCTTGAAATAACCAGCATTTCACCATTAATAAACACAGAAAACTTGGGAATGTGATGCAGGTTTAACCCAGAGGATCGTTTGAGAAGGGAAATTCCGTTAGTGGAATAGTTAAAAATGCCCCACTTTTGGATGTCATATGCCTTCCTAAGATCATTGCATAATGCTGACCTTTTAGCATATTTTAATCATCACGGTGGGTCTTTGAAAAGGACTGGAAAAAACTTAAATTGAGAAAACCAGAATCAAGTAATATGCGAGTGTTCTTCTTGCCCATATGCAACTGTTGTTCTTTCCCTCAGTGCTATTCAATAAATTCTGAGTTTTTGTTCCCATAGCCAAGATAACAAACTAGTTTATGTATGCTATAGCTGAACTTTTTACACAATGTCACCATTCTATTATGCTTATGCCCATATATCTATCTACTCACATTGTCTTTTTAATTGACAGGTGTTGGACCTGGAAGGTGTACAATAAACAATGGAGGCTGCTGGTTAGATATTAAAGATGGCAAAAGATTTTCAGCTTGCTCAGTTCTGTGATGTTTTCCCCTTTCTTTTGCTTCGAAACTTCTGTTTGTCATCCTTTCAATTTTTCAAAAAATGCTAAAATTTGGTTTTCTTACAACTAGGAGTCTAATCTATTAGGCTGTAAATGTCCAAATGGTTTTCGCGGGGATGGTCATACATGTGAAGGTGATATTTCTCTCTGTCCATTATGACAGTGAAAAACATAAGTCCATTATGGCACTAAAAAACAGAATATCATGTTTCATATATTTGAATTGTTGGGAATCTTAATATTGTATGTTAAAACCCATAACCACCTTTCCTTTTGATTGTGCACCAGATGTCAATGAATGCTACTTTTCTTCTCTAGGAAAAAAGTGTTTCGTTTTTACATTAATTCGAAGTGACCCGCCTTATGAAAATGAGTGGTTGGCTATTTCATGATTTGCTGATCGTTATTCTAATCACATACCAAGAGAGTAAGTTATAACAAATCTTAGGATTGCTTATAGACGTAGTTTCTTGTGAGGAATTGTAATTATTGGATTAGAAAAACATATTAGCCACAATATAACTAAAATTATTATATGTAAATTGATTTGTAGTGATGCCCATTCCAACAAATACTATTATGTATTGTTTTCTTTCTCTATTTGAAGGGAGTTTTGCACACCTTGTCCTCCCTTATTCTCTCTTTTGGACTTCTTATTCATTAATAAAAGATTATCAGCTCTATTGCAGTAACTAAGCCATCGTAAAATTTGAGATTCCTGTAGCTTATGAGGATGCATAATTGAAAAAAGAAAACTATAGAATTGAAGTTTGTCATTGCAATGTTTGAAGCTAAATGAAATGTTAATAAATGTACCATAGAAGCGTTTTAATAACAACATAAAATATCCTAAGATAGCTACTTATTTATTTAACAACGCTTTATCAAATGGCAAGCCACTACAATGATGAAAAGATGTGAACGGATTACGTGTCACCCATTTCTTGCAGATTTGAAAAGACAAAAGATAAATTGAGAGACTAAATGTGGAAGATTAGCCATAATCCCTGAACTTCACGACCAATAGCAGGATGATAGCCAAGCAGGGCATGTGTAGCGGCAAAAGTTTAAATTCAAAAGAACCAAAACAACGCCCCGAACATGGAATATTTAGTTGCATCATTTTTTTTTTTGGGAGGGGGAATGTTTACACCCAAATATAACAAGATCAAGGGGTTACACGTGGAAGAGATCCAACGGTTATGAAAGAGTCTGTGAGAGTCCCCAACTGATAGAACGGTTAGAAGAGTATGACTCTAACAGCCCTGAAAAACGGGAAGACGTGACATCATGAACTTCTAGTTAGAGACGATTCAACGCATGTCCACGCATACCATGATCACAATAATGGCCGAAAAAGATGGTTTCAACGGTTGGAAGTCATCCCTATAAATAACAGAGGTCAGGCCACTAATTCCACGATCAAATCCAATAAACTCTATACAAAGTCTACCTTATACTCACTTATTTTTGCTCCCAAGCAACTTTAGTTTTCTTGTAATTCATCACTTCTGTGATCTTTTACTGCTTCCATATTTTTTTTTTTTTGGAGGGGCATATGAACCCTTGACCTCAGAAAGGCAAAACTTTAACAAGATAAGGAGTGTCATTTGATCAAATGCCCACTGGTTTACTGCTTTTATTTAATGTTTAATACAATACTTATTTCATCTTCTAAATTTAATCTACTTGCTGCATTGCATTCCGTTGGTCTTTCTTACATTTCAATCCATTTCGCTATTNGCTTTTATTTAATGTTTAATACAATACTTATTTCATCTTCTAAATTTAATCTACTTGCTGCATTGCATTCCGTTGGTCTTTCTTACATTTCAATCCATTTCGCTATTAATTGGGGAATTATTTAAAGTCCTTGAACTATAAGGCATAGAAAAGAAGTCAGAGATAGTCTTACGTCTTATTACAATCACCTGAACAGTCACGATTTTAANTTAATTGGGGAATTATTTAAAGTCCTTGAACTATAAGGCATAGAAAAGAAGTCAGAGGTAGTCTTACGTCTTACTACAATCACCTGAACAGTCACGATTTTAGGACCTCACGCCGATTCAAATAAATAAAGTCGTACATGTTTAAATTTTAAGTCTAATCAAACTTTAGCACGCCAACAATCTGAAAATATGTCAAACAATATCTCAGGTAGATGTCAACAGTCAAATTTCGTATGAATTTGGCTTTCAATCAGTAGTAAGGATTAAAACTTCATTTTAGAACACAATTGTAATTAGCTAAAAAATAAAAACGTTTTGAAAATGATTTGAAGATATTTCAAAATCCAAATAGAAATTAAAAAATTAAAAATTTATTTTCAAAACATTAGCCAAAATATCTCAAAACAAACGAATTACAATATTCAATTACTGAGTTTTCTTACAACTCGACATTTTGGGCTTTCAAAATGAAATTTCCATCTTTGATCATATTAGTGTAGGGTAATATTAAATATAAATAAGAGAGTGTAAGGCAATCTAACCTAGACACTAATTATTCTCTCTTTTCTCTTAACCCTATTTTTACTATACTATTTCAACTCATAATTTACTAATAAACTGTCGATACTGCTCTTCAGATTTCTGGTCACGGAAGAGTGGCAGTAGACTTTTATTCGAGCAACCCCTCGGGATATTAGAAAACTGAATANAGATTTCTGGTCACGGAAGAGTGGCAGTAGACTTTTATTCGAGCAACCCCTCGGGATTTTAGAAAACTGNTTTTACTATACTATTTCAACTCATAATTTACTAATAAACTGTCGATACTGCTCTTCAGATTTCTGGTCACGGAAGAGTGGCAGTAGACTTTTATTCGAGCAACCCCTCGGGATATTAGAAAACTGAATAAATAAAGAAAAAATGTGAATTAGTTGAAAAGTAAATTTGCTCCATTTGAGTGGAAAAAGTTTGGATTTCTGTAAAGTTATGTGTGCCTAATTTATTTGTCTAATTCATTTTTGTTGGTGTATGTATCAACAATAGACCCATCCAAATATGAACGCTGGTAAATTTCCTTTCAACATTATNTCATTTTTGTTGGTGTATGTATCAACAATAGACCCATCCAAATATGAACGCTGGTAACACTGGTAAANATTTCTGTAAAGTTATGTGTGCCTAATTTATTTGTCTAATTCATTTTTGTTGGTGTATGTATCAACAATAGACCCATCCAAATATGAACGCTGGTAAATTTCCTTTCAACATTATTATGATCCTAGCAAACCACAAGTAACAATTCGCCATGACCAAGGACTAGAAGCCAACTCAAAAGAATAAATCCAATAGTATCAACAAAATGGGAACCATTTCCCTATAACCAAACAAGCTGCAAAACCATCTTTCATAAAGGAGGAAATCTCGTAAAAATTACCCCATCATTACTAACGATAGTACCATCAATCCCTAACTTGAAAAGTAAAAACCTAGTAAACCTACCACCGCTAAAAAGATTTTGATTCGGATAAAAAAAACCAACCACCGTCAGCCTTTTAATTAGCACTTCGGCAGAGCAAACCAAACTACTCAAAGCCTTTTAATTCTACAAACAATAANAAGTAAAAACCTAGTAAACCTACCACCGCTAAAAAGATTTTGATTCGGATAAAAAAACCCAACCACCGTCAGCCTTTTAATTAGCACTTCGGCAGAGCAAACCAAACTACTCAAAGCCTTTTAATTCTACAAACAATAAAACTTATGACTACGAAAATTTGTCCAGGACAACAGTTCTTGAGCTAGAGCCACATAATATCTAATCCAGTATACGATTGTAACACATTTTGCAATGAAAAGAGCAGCTGTACACCAAACACATCCAAGAGTGGCTTAGCACCCACCCAAACAAATAGCCACATTGACAAGCACTGACATTAATTACGCTTCCACAATTTTTCAGTTCAGACATCATTCCCATCAAGCCTAAAATATCGGGTGTGCAATTTGCACAACTGAAATAAAAGCCAAGAGAACACAACAGCCACAACTTAGCTAAAAGGCTCTTCTTATTGGATGAAAATGTCATGGCAGTACATTGATATCACACGCAAGTGTGCAAGCACACACGCATGCACATGTGCAAGTACAAGTGCGCATGCATCACACTAGAGTGCATGAACACACACCCACATACAAACCCATGCACAGAGAGGGCCAAAACTGAAAGAAGAGAAACAATTTAAGCTAGGATATATCCAATTGCATGTAAACNCACATACAAACCCATGCACAGAGAGGGCCAAAACTGAAAGAAGAGAAACAATTTAAGTTAGGATATATCCAATTGCATGTAAAAAAAAACCACAGATGCATTACAAAGACCATGCCACCCTTGTGCAATGATATGGCTACTCATCAACCCACTAATGGTGACAACAGCTGAGATCACTTCCATCTAATCATGCCACAAGACTTGCTAGCATCTTCTCATGCTTCCTTCTCCTCCGCCATATGAGAGGCTCACCAACAAAAATGGGTGCCTCGCAAGTAGCAGAACCAAGTTGCCAGTTAGAGCTTTCCTAACTAAGGAACATAAGGGAAGGATATAACTTCAGTTGGTGATTGAAAAATTAAAAACAGCAAGAATACCAACCATAACTTGCACAAAATTCATGCGGCCTACACAAACTTCTGTCTATTTTTTTCCTCTGCCTGGTTGGCAGTGGGACTTTCTCAATAATGCTAGAATATGAAGACCAACATATTGTTCAGTACTTAAGCTGTCAGTTTCCATATTGCTGACAGCTTAATGCTCAGGGCAACATAAATAGCAAAATAGGGTATTCTCAACTTAAAATCCTAAGGAATGTAGAAAGAATATAGATCTGCAAGATATCTGCAATCTCCACTCCATCCAGAAGAGCAACCAGCCCAGGACAGTGCTGCACAAAATGGCAGGTCTTAACAACTGCCGTCAAAGTTTTGATAACAACAGATAAAATGCATAAAAGGCAGAAGGAACCAAAAATTAATCCTACCTGCTTCTGCTGCTAAGACAGGAAGCATGATACATTTGTCAGATAGCATAAACCTTTTCAAACTAGGGAGCTTTGCTGTATTGAGAAAAGTGAAGCATGAGAGAATCCAAATCACTGCCCACTAATTAGCACATCAAGAAAGTTATGCAGTCAAATGGAAATTTGACTAGTGGGCCATAAGCTCCAACAGAACGCACCATATAAGGCTACCAGATGCTCAGCACTGGCAAAACAAGTTCCTGTCCCACAAAAGCGGATCTCCTAAAAAAACCTAAACTCGAGAAGAACCTTCAGATTGCCATCATTGCAAAGAGAGAACTTGTGGTTAAAAAAAAATCAAAAGAATATAAGTACGGAGAACAAATTTTTGAAGGAGCAACTGCAAATGTAAACATTATAACCAAATTAGCAATATAGATAAGAGGAGTCACTGTCAACCCGGTGGGTTTAATAACATACAAAATAGCCAACTTCCTCTTACCCTTAAGTGATGATCCCGAAGACGCCAAATCTGTAGTGGATACCAAACCATCAGCTCAAGAGAAAGAAAATAAAGTTCCAAAAGTTACTAAAAGCACGTGACCAACATAATTTCAGAAATAATATCGAAGAAGGTTGTATGGTGCGCCACAATTTCATTAGAAGAATTCTCAAGGTAGTGAGACAGTTCCAATATGAACCTCTTCAAGGCCTGGTCAAGTAAATCTGTTCATCTCTTTCTGCCACCACGTTCCCTCAAAGAAAGGGTAAGTGTATCTCCTCCTGCAACATTGTAAAATGCGATAGACAAATTGTCCTTGAGGAAGCCAGCTTTTCCACTCAGTTTTTGTTTGTTTGCAGGAAGCTGGATCTCTCCTGCAATTTTCTCTTTCAGGCTGCCAACGGTTTCAGATAAGGATTGCACAGTAATCTCCAGAAGTTGCCCCTTGAGATTTCCTTCATCAACATTTGGCACAGATACATTGATGCGAACAGGTCCCTGCAGCAAACAACAAAAGGATCATAAATCTGAATCAGGCGAGCTATCAATNATTGATGCGAACAGGTCCCTGCAGCAAACAACAAAAGGATCATAAATCTGAATCAGGAGAGCTATAAATGATAGTATAAACAGAAATCAGAATACTCCGGAGTTCAAACAAGCAAACTGTAATCAAAAAAATATAATCCATACTGGATGTTGAGCCAGGAATTGGTCTTCAGGTATAAGCATAGAATCCTCAAGCCTTTGCCTCTTTGGCTCTGGTTCATCGGGAAGTGGAGGAGGAGCTTCTTCAGGTGGAGGTGGTGGAGGCATTCCTTGAGGCATAGGGGGTGGTGGAACCATAGGCATGCCAGGCTGGGACATGGGATGGGGGACGAAAGGACGAGGTGGTGCCAAAGGCGTAAACTGAGATCCAGGCGGCGGTGGCACAGGTATACTAGGAGGATTCACAGAAATTGATGGTGGCATAGGGGGTCGATTCATCATAAGAGCTTGCTGGCCAGGAATCATTGGCATTGGAGCATGTGGAGGCCGAACTGATGGAATCATGTTAACAACTGGTGGCCTGGGTGGAGGTGGTGCAAGGACCCCAGCACTCGTAGGAGCAGAGTACTGGACTGTATTCGGAGGTCGAGGAAGATTCAGGGCTAGTCCAGGTGGTGGAGGAAGTGGCCGAATGGAGGGCACACCAGGTCTAGGAGGAGGAGGAGCTGCAGGACCAGGAAGACCCCATGCATCATTGTAGGCCACATCATTCTGATCCTCCCCATTGTTTTGAGACATGGCCTGACTAGCAGTGCGTCCAATACTCCCCGTGTGACCATCCCATATGACCTGCTTTGGTTGCTCATCTTTCTTCTTCTCAATCTCCGCCTTGACTGCATTAGAAACTTCTTCCTCTGTCGTACCAAAAATATCAGGACGAGTTCTCGCAAGTCCCACAATGTTTCTGGAGATCTCATCATCTTGGGCAAGAGTGGTTTCCCGAATCTTAGCAAACATCCTCTCTTTTTGCTCTTTGTACTTGGGATCAATAAGAGAAATCCTCATATGTTCAGACATCTCATTAATGGGAATAAGCTCTCCAGTTATTGGGGAAACAACATATTTAGTCGGGTCTCTTTCTGCAGGGATCCTCTCCTCAGGCCTCTTCCAATTCTTCACAATCCTCATCGGTGGTTCCTGTTCCTCTGGAGTTGCCTTGGCTTCATTCTTCTCACCATTTTCTTCAAGACTAGCAGCCCTCATACCCTCTTCAACAAGCTGCACCTCCTCTTCATCCATCTCCATTTCCACTTCCTTTCCAGGCTCAACAATGTCTGCTTCATCCGTAGTAGACATCCTGCTTCTCCTAATAACCTCCTCGAGGGTCATTGGAGGGGGTAAATCCTCATCCTCATCATCTGCAAAGTCTATAGTCTCGACCACAACAAAATCATGCCAATCAATCATGGCCATCTGTAACCGTTCCTGCTCTATCTCATCCTCAGCTTTCTGCCTCGCCTGCTCTTGCGAACGCTCCCACTCCAGCCTGTGCAAGCACCGTTCAAGAACAGTAGTCATATCAGTAACACTTTTCAACAGCTTATCAGTCAACCCCTTTTGAGGCATCAACACCTTCGAATATGCATCTGCAAGCGACGTAAAGAACATGAACATACTGTGTGTCGGCTTCAGAAAATGAAATTGAGGATTATTCATCTCTCTACTTGTCAGACCCGTCAAAAAGGACTTCCCATTCCGAGCCACAAACTGTGCAGTCAGCTTAATTATATCCAATTCCTCTCCTGTAATCCCCTCAGGAAGCCGCACCGTGTACTGCTCCGCCTCCGGAGGCTCAAGCACCTTCTTTACTGGCCTAAACTGGGCCGAGGGGTCAGACTTTGCTGCTGAATCATCAGCAGCCGGCGCAGAAGGGATCAACTCAGGAGCAGAAGAATCTGAAGCCTTCTCAGCCTGCGGTTGGGAAGAACCTTGAGTCTGGGCACGAAACTCAGACAAACGGTGCTGATAATACGCATGATATGGATCCGAAGCATTCAAGAAATTGAACTTGGCATTCCCAGCATTGTTAGCAATAATTCTTTTCTCAAACTCGATTCCATTTTTCGCCACAAACTGTGCTGTTTTATCAACAATGTTTCTGATATCAGGAGGGGGGTGTATAATTCCAATAGTTCTCGTATGGGTCGCAATCGATGAAGGAGCCGAGTTGGGTTTATCAGCTTTGTTCTCATCCTCCTCGGCCTCTTGCATTTTCTCGTCCGTGGATCCTTCCGGCACCTGAGAAGGTGGTAAAGGACCAAGATTCCCATCGGAGGGTGGTGCCGGAAGGGGCAATATGGGAAACGCACCTAGCATTTTTTTCTGTCCAAATAACAACAATTAGAAGTAATAATACTACTTAGAAATTAAAATCACTTTCAACTGTCAATATAGTACAGCTCCACTAATCAGTATGAAGAACCACAAACCAAAAAAAAAAAATACAAATTCACAACTTGCAATATCAACGAAAAATTTAAAAAAAAAAAAAAATTGCTAGTATCCGTACAAATATAAACCCTATAAAGGAAAGTAAGGACTCAGCTGTTTTGATATATCATGCAAAAGGCACCAGCAACGCAGCAAGCAAACATGAAAAAGAATAATTTAGAGTTTTAATTTCCACATCCGAAAACCCAAACCTAGCAAAAAATAGGAAAAATTGTATCCCCGATTTTTATTTCTTGTATCGTAGCTTTTTGTCCGTGACCCAACGTAGGACTAGGGTTTGAGCAAAAAGTGAATAAGTATAAAATTCAATTATTTAAAAAATAATAAAAAAGCTAATTAAAGGAAACTCCAAACATACAACAAATTTCTTGTTTTTCAACATACAAAACAAATTATTTCCGTATATATCTGGTTCGGGAAATAGTCAATTACGACATTTAGCAACAAAAAAAAATCTAATTAAAGGAACTTCACTGTCGCAGTCTTCATCAGACTTCATGGGTCTGGTTGGATGCTACCAGATGTTTGTTTTGATGGTAGTCATTTCTAAATGGCACAGCATCAAGAGGATGATTATAATAATAACCATTAGCGTTGACATATGCTAGTAGGTCTATATCATCTTGGCAGAACGAGCCTAGACTTGGGGTGTATTAAATAACACAGCAGTGGGATTTAGCAGCATCAACATCAAATGGCTGATCGGAGAAAAAAATATCATTGGCCGACAATAATTTTTTGAGTATCTTTTAAAATTTAAACGGTTTTTTAATCCCTTATTTTAGGAAACCTTTTATCTAATAAAACAGATTCAAAAACAAAGAAACTGTCAAATCTAATGTGCATGAATTAAGGTAAGGACTTGTTCAAAAAAAAAAAAAAGAATTAAGGTATGGACAATTACGTACTACAAATATATGAAAACTGTAAATGTGTACCTACTCACAAAATATTTAGGAGAATAAGGACTAACTAATTGAAAAGTGTGAGCTATATACTTTAAAACAAATAAGTTCCTTGGAGTGTACCCCATCCCAATTTTCCCTAATTTTTTTGGTCTTGGCCTAGAGAACTGGCCCACTTAAAATAGTGGTGATATCCTGCATGTTTTATAAGTAAATCATTTTCATTAAATAAACATTGTTTGGATGTTCAAAATAAAAAAGTTCTTAAACAAAAATACATTATAAAATGTGCGGATGGTAAAAGAAATACTTATTTGTGTTACAATTCCTAATAAATTATTAAATGCACATACACTAATGTACCAAAAATATAGACATATACGGTGTGTTAACACACATACTAATACAAGAAAATATCTATAACTATACTACTTTTAAATGTTTCTTGAGGTGTAAACATTTGATTATCTAAATTACCCTTAAAGATTTTTAAATAGANGTGTTAACACACATACTAATACAAGAAAATATCTATAACTATACTACTTTTAAATGTCTCTTGAGGTGTAAACATTTGATTATCTAAATTACCCTTAAAGATTTTTAAATAGCAGCAATGCCCTCTATTTAATGTATTTTTATGCTATTTCTAAATTTCAGCTTACTGCTTTTTTAGTGTAATAATCCATATTTACCGTCTTTCAAGTACTGTCTCGCATCCTCTCCCAACTTCTTAATAAACTTCAGTTTGGGAACTATCTATCTCCCACATCTCTTTCTTCTTTTATGCATCTCTATTGGACATCCATCCTTTTTCTTCCTAGATTCTATTTCTCTTCTCTCTCATGAACACTCATTTCTTTCCTCATTCCACAGCATCTTTTCTGGGTATGTTAAGTTTATACATTTGACGTTTTTAAGTTAATTTTATTGTATATATGCTTTAGTCATAAAAATATATATAATTTATGCATTTCTATATATAATTTTGTATTGATAACATGAATTTCCAATATTCAAACATGAACTTGGTGCAGATTATTTGTGTATGTGAATGTCGATGTGTAGGTGCCCTCATTAATGTCAGCAATCCCCTCTCTACAGTGTTTGGTCAGCTATGCAAACAAACGTCTTTTTGCTTCTATCCTTCTACAGCCATTCATAAATTTCACAATAGAATCCACGCAGATATTAGTTTTAAACAATTTTATTCGTCAATGATGCATTCCCAAATTGTTTGGATGGGAAATTTGGATGTTAATGGTATTTTTTTTTTATCCATGTGTTGCATGAAGTAAAAGTCAATTTGGATTGCTACTTTTTACCGGGTGAAATGATTTTTCGGCATTTCAACTCCCAGGGGAGCATACTTCAAGTAATGTTCACTTCATGTACTATACATATGATGTCTTTTCGATCTAATGAATATCACCAATTACCCCTATGTGTTGCACAAATATCAACCTATTGTAGACAACAATTTCACAAGTTATACCAGTGCTTGCTCAGTGACCAAAAACCCATTAGAAGATGCATCTACTAACTGACCTTTTAGATCCTAGCAATTGGAGTAAATATTCAAGATGCAATGAATTAATCCTTTCTTAGTCTTGGTTGTTGCACACACACATATTTCACATTGGACCATTCTACACATCCTTTTTAGATCACATAAGGCTCTCTCTCTCTCTCTCTCTCTACATGTTTATATACATATATGTACACACAGATATGCATTTATATAGAGCTATAGAGATATATATGGTTTGAACATTTATTGAATGAATTCATGTCATTTCTAATTTCAATTTGAAAATTTTGTTCTTTAGATGNCACACACACATATTTCACATTGGACCATTCTACACATCCTTTTTAGATCACATAAGGTTCTCTCTCTCTCTCTCTCTCTCTCTCTCTCTACATGTTTATATACATATATGTACACACAGATATGCATTTATATAGAGCTATAGAGCTATATATTGTTTGAACATTTATTGAATGAATTCATGTCATTTCTGATTTCAATTTGAAAATTTTGTTCTTTAGATAGGACAACAAGTTTAGGTTTTCACTAAGTTTCTCTTAAATTCTTACTCTGTATCGTTTTTCTTTCGTGTTTGTTGTCTTATTTTTCTCTAAAGCAAATGAAATAAAGTAAGATTTTATAACCTAAACGTATACCCTTTTACCCAAGTACTGTATTGGTCACGAAAGGTTATTCCATCAAAATAAATCAGAGAATTTTGATGCAACGACTAAATTGAAACAAAATTAAAATTCTAAAGATTTGATTATTGCAATTGGAACTTCAAAAACCAAATAAAAATTAGGTGCATACTTTAAGGGCGTAAATTATAATTTATCCTTTTAACTATATACGGGGTTACTCTGACCTAGAAGACAAGTTGATTGAAAAGGTGCAAAAATATTAATAATATTTCATTGTCCTGGTACAATTCGAGTTTCCAGTCACAAAATTTGATTGTAGTTGTGTGGCCCTTTTTTCATTTTTCTTTACTCCTTTTCTTTTTCGTCTTTGGCTTTTGATCCAACCACAAGATGTATTATAAATAGAATTTAGTTTTTGGTTGGAATTTGATTTTTTGAAAGCAAAACAATATTTGTATATGCAAAAAGATGGTCACCCCTAATTTCTTTTTTGCATTTATAATTCTTGATATCGGCAATATTAAATTTTTTTTTCCTAACACCTCAATGGCATGTTTGTTTTGTGGGTTTGTAGGGATTGGTGTCTAGGGTTTGGAAAAAATAGTCCAAAGGACCTCCAAACCCAATGTTTGGGTTCAATTTTCAAGTCTGGGTTGCCAAGGCAGTAGCTGGCCCATAGACTAAACCCCATGAACATGGGCTTCGTCAAACCGGGAGAGGTTTCGGAAGAGGATTAATGGGTTAAGGATGGAAAAAGACAATTGTACTCCTTAGAACCCTATTTACCATATTTCACCCCAATCTCTACAAAAGACAAATGTCTAGGGAAATGGAGGACACTTGTCCTCTTACCGTAACAATGTCTTGTATGGTTAATGTTTTATTGCGTTTTATTATGGTTATGAATAANTTTACCCAAGTACTGTATTGGTCACGAAAGGTTATTCCATCAAAATAAATCAGAGAATTTTGATGCAACGACTAAATTGAAACAAAATTAAAATTCTAAAGATTTGATTATTGCAATTGGAACTTCAAAAACCAAATAAAAATTAGGTGCATACTTTAAGGGCGTAAATTATAATTTATCCTTTTAACTATATACGGGGTTACTCTGACCTAGAAGACAAGTTGATTGAAAAGGTGCAAAAATATTATTAATATTTCATTGTCCTGGTACAATTCGAGTTTCCAGTCACAAAATTTGATTGTAGTTGTGTGGCCCTTTTTTCATTTTTCTTTACTCCTTTTCTTTTTCGTCTTTGGCTTTTGATCCAACCACAAGATGTATTATAAATAGAATTTAGTTTTTGGTTGGAATTTGATTTTTTGAAAGCAAAACAATATTTGTATATGCAAAAAGATGGTCACCCCTAATTTCTTTTTTGCATTTATAATTCTTGATATCGGCAATATTAAATTTTTTTTTCCTAACACCTCAATGGCATGTTTGTTTTGTGGGTTTGTAGGGATTGGTGTCTAGGGTTTGGAAAAAATAGTCCAAAGGACCTCCAAACCCAATGTTTGGGTTCAATTTTCAAGTCTGGGTTGCCAAGGCAGTAGCTGGCCCATAGACTAAACCCCATGAACATGGGCTTCGTCAAACCGGGAGAGGTTTCGGAAGAGGATTAATGGGTTAAGGATGGAAAAAGACAATTGTACTCCTTAGAACCCTATTTACCATATTTCACCCAAATCTCTGCAAAAGACAAATGTCTAGGGAAATCGAGGACACTTGTCCTCTTACCGTAACAATGTCTTGTATGGTTAATTTTTTATTGCGTTTTATTATGGTTATGA